GTTGCCCCTTTTTGGACCCACTTCTGGTCCAAAAATTAGGTGTGCCTTATACAAGTGAATGCAAGATAAGTTAAAGGATAATTTATTTTATATTAAAATGATTATTTTAATAGCTTGTCTTCTATTTCAATTTGTAATGGTGTAGAGAAAAGAGCACTGGATTTTTTAAAAAATTATTAATAGAAAACCTGGTTTTGAAGCCTGGTTTTGCTACTTATTAGTTGAATGATGCTGAACAAATCACATATCTTGAAGGTGGTTCCTTCCTACCCTACATCCTAGGATCATATGATATTTGAGGTTTTCCAAGATTTCCTTTTAAACATGAATACTAGAAAAAGGGAAAATGAAGAGGCAGGAGCACCATTCATTTTTTTTAAATAGGGAATGTGTGATGGACTTCTAAACATCATGCCAGTAGAGCACAAGGTGGAAAGAATAAGTCCTACTAAGCCTCAAAAGTTTCCACTACGGAAAGACCAGCCTAGCTAAGTTGGAAGAGGCTCATCACCAGGAAGGACATAGGGGGATGAATTTCTCAGGCCAAAACAATTCTCAATGTCTGCTAATATCTAGAGGAGTGACAATCTGCTAAGAGGTGGTAGGGCACACACACCTCTAAAATCAGATTCTTTAAGAATGTCTTGATCTCCCCCCTCCCTCTCCTCCCCAATTAGTGCTCCTTGCTATACAGTTTGGGTGCTTTTCCTTCATTTACTTATCTGTAAACTATTTTATTCCCTTTAGTACAAGGCTTCTTCACAGTTTCTGTGTGTCATGGATTCATTTGTCCATCTAGTGAAGCCTATGAACCCCTTCTTGGAATAGTATTTTTAAGTGCACAAAACAAAATACATAGAATTACAAAGGAAACCAATCATATTGAAATACAATTATCAAAATATTTTTAAAAACCAAGTTCACTAACTCTAGTTTAAAAATACCTGCCCTAATAGAATGTAAACTCATTTATCAAAAAGATCATCTCAGCTTTGAATTTGTAAGCCCATTTCCTAATGCAATACCTGTCACATAGTAAATGCTTGTGGAATAATTCAAGAAATATAAAAACAGATGCACGTGCATATGTGTGTACATACATCTATATATACACACCTATATCTATATACACACATTTATATCTATATCTATATAACATATATCTATCTATCTATCTATCTATCTATCTATCTACATATATAGATATATAATTCAATCAAGGGTTCATTGCCAAAATCAATTTAAAAACTATTCTTAAATTAAAATTAAATTTTTTAAAAATTAATAGGATATGGGTAAAAAACCCATGATAAAGTTTTCAACATTGGGGGGGAGTTAACTTTTTTTTTTAAAATCATGGACTACTTTAGTAGGTTATTGAAGTCTATGGACCACTTCTCAGAATGTTTTTAAATGCATAAAATTAAATCCATAGGGTTATAAAGATAACCAATTCTACTAAAATAAAGTTACCAAAATATATTTAAAAAAAACAATTTCTTATGGCTCAGTGCATAAGAAGAGAGCTAATATTAAATCAATATTACTATTAAATCAAACCAATTCCTTTTATGTCAACGAGTACCTGGAATTTTTATTAATAATGGGAAATGGAACTGGATTACTCCAAATTATAAATCAGACTCCCCAGTTAAAATCAGAAATTTTTCAAGCTCTATTAACTCATTACAGTCAATAGCTTGATAGTTGCTGAACCAAGTACTCTCTTTGAGGTTACTAATAGCCTCCTTATCACTATAATGTAGTGATATATATATATATATATATATATATATATACACACACATACATACATGCATACATATATATACATATATATATATGTATGCATGTATGTATGTTATAATGAACTATCCTTATCACTGTAGGTCATAGACCCTAGAGATAGAAAAAAATGTTAAAGAAAATCTAGCCAAACTGCTTCATTTTACACATGAGGAAACTGAGGTACAAAGCATGAAATGACTAACCCAAAATTAATTTGGCACAATATATGCAAAATCACAATGATAGCTCACATTTGTACAGTGCTTTAGGTTTTACAAAGCTCTTTCCTCTCAACTCCATGAGCTAGATATTTCATATATTACTATTTCTATTTTTAAGTTGAGAAAATTGAGGATCTAAGAGCTGACATGACTTATCCAGGATCACATAGCTAGTGTCTGGTACAAGTCTCCTGACCCCAAGGTCAGTAGGGGTTTTTTTGTTTTGTTTTTTTTTCTGTTTCTCAAGTTTTCCATGATTACCCCAGTTGGATCCGAACTTTTGGAATCTCTTATATCACATTCTTTGTATATCTTTGTTTTTTGATTGAGTTGTCAATTACTATTCACATTTTACTTTATATTACCTTTTTGTATGTGTGCATGACCCCTTATAGACTGTCAGCTCCTTGAGAGTAAGGGAGGCGATATTTCATCTTTGTATGCATGGCTAGGCACCTTGCACATAATAGGTACTTAATACATTTTTGGTGAATGCTCTCAGTGAAGCAATTATAGTACTGGAAAAGGTTCATATCAAGTTTTTCATGTTTTGGAAGGAGTATCCTTCAGATCTTTGGGATTATCTGTCCCAAAAGATAGAGAAACTAGAATATCACATGTACAACAATTTTACTTCCTCCTGAAAGGCTTCTCTGATTAGCCCCACCCAAATAATTTTTTGAGTCTGTGTGTTGTTCAATAGGAACTTAGTTCAATTTATGTTTTTTTAATCAAAGTCTTTTCATTAACATTTTCATGAAAGTTTGTGATCTTAAATCCCTCTTCTTGTAAACTGGCATTTTAAACAAGGAAAATTATATCATAGTGGAAAAGGGAAATTTTTCATTTACTCTTGTAACTTAGAAAAACTTAAAAGTTTTTTTCTCTTAAATTTACCCCATGACTTGTTCCTCCTGAAAATTACAGTCATTCTGGTAAATTTTTTTTAAAGGAAATCTTCTCTACCACTATTCAACCATCAGAAAGTGTCACAATTATTGGGGTGGGGGTGTTTTTGCCATATATTAATACAACTATGATGAAACAAATATTTTGTAGGTAATTAAAATATGATGAGTATATGAACTTTTCTGTACAATTTGGGATTTAAACACATGAAATAACACTTCAACAGCAATTTGTCACAAATACTAGTACCTTCATGTATATTGACATACAATTTCCAATTTCCCTTCTCATTTATGCTTTTTATTCCCTACATTCACAATCACCAGCCTGAGAAAACAAAGTCAAGACAATCAGACACTATCATTTTAATCTTTAGACAGTCTTCACATACTAGTTTAGTACCAGGACATTGCTCAGTTTACATAGATCCTTCAATACTGAGGAGAAAAAAAAAGCCTCAGGCATAGGAAGAGATCAATACATAGTTGATGAATGAATGAAAGTGAAAGAAATATTTTAAAATCACCTTTAAACTGTGGCTTCCCACAGTTGTATTTCAATATTTATGAATGAATCTATATATGATACTGAGATGAATGGGGTTTTCCTGATCAGAACCTGAAAAAGCTTCAAGTATATCATAAGAGAAGTTAGCACTGAGAAAAGAATCAGACTTGAATTTACTCAGAAACTCTGATTAAGCAGGTTCCTATGATTAAGATAATTATTTACTAGATATAATTATTTATTATCATAAAGAATGTCAAACATGCAAAAGTAATCAAATATATTTCATTATTTGCCTTCTGATAATTACCTCCATTAAAAAAAACTATCAAACACTAGCATTTTATTTTATCTGTCTACAGAAATCCCCAAATCCTTATGCAGACATTTTTTAATAGGTAAAACTGATGACATTTAAACTGGAAAAGACTAGGATTACCAGCCACCACCTCCTCTTCCCCTCTCCCCCCTCCCCCAATTTCTAACAGTATACCCTTCCATATTTTAGGTGATATTTGAAATTTCAATCCAATTAGAAGGCGGCAGTATTTTCTGCTGGAAGAGCCTGGGACTACTACTTTCAGTGCGCTTACCGGCTCTTGCCTAATTCCATTTAAAGAAATACTGAAAAGCTCTGAAGTTTTTGGTTTGAGTTCCTTGTTTCACAATTTCGTGTGAATTTGTGTGCACCCTTTGCTGCTTTGTAAAGCAAGACAGACATCTTATGAAAGCCCTTTCCTATCCTGATCCAGATGCTGGACAGGTTTTCAGCTGTACCTACTAGAGAGGAACCCCTGGAGGCTTGGTACAGGGGCACCGGATGGCATTTTCAGTTTATGTGGCAGAGCCAGCGTGGAGGGTGGGGGGCGGCTAAATAAACATAGGCTGTTATCGGATTAAGAGCTGGACGGAATCTTAGGGGTCAATTAGTCCAACCCGTTTATTGTATGCTAAGGAAACTGAGGCAAAGGAAGTGTTAAATGACTTGCCCAAGGTCACAGAGACAGTAAAAACCATATCTTTTGGTTCTAGAGACTGCCCTCTTGTCGCTGATGCCCAGCTGACCTTTTTACTGGGATTTTGCATTTAGACTGCAAAGAGGGGCTACTATCACTGAGGCGACTTCTGTCAACCCTCTCTCTCTTTCTTGCGGGAAAACTGCTACCTGCGCTAACAGTGTTCTTGAAACTCTGACGCTCCCGCCCAGCCATCGCAATTGGTGAGTTTGAGGGCTGGTGCGATCTTCCCATACTGGGAGATCTGCAAACTGGTTACTTTTCCAGCCGTCTCTCGCTTTTTCCTCATTTGTCTCCTCGGGCAGTCGCATCCCTCTTTTTCCTCCCCAGTTCTCCTTCTATCTTGGTCTTCCCTCCTGCCAGAGCCCAAACACCCTTCCCCGAACCGGCAGAGGGGTGGGAGCTCCTTCTGCCCCTCCCAGAGCAAAAGCCGTTTCTCTCCGGCTGCAGTGCCTGCTTTCTCCCTCAGTGGTCCGAACTCCCAATTCTACCACTTTCCCGGAGCCCGTCTCCCCAGCCTCCTGCCTAACTGGAAGGTGGGTAGCTGGTTGGGACTCACAGGAGACTGTACCTCGAAGCGCCCCCAGCCGCTCGCGAGGTCTTCCAGCTGCCCGGGTACCGGATCCAGTGTAGCCAATGCGCCTTCGCTCCCGCGCTCTCCAGGAGCGGAGACAGCTGGAAAAGAAGCCGGAGAAATAGGTAGTGGGAGGGGAGGGGAAGGGGAAGGGGAAGGGGAGGAAGGAGAGTGGTGGTGATGGTAGGAGAGGGAGAAGGATGTGGGGAGAAAGACGCGGAGCAGGGGATGATAAAGAGTAGGGGAAAGAGGGGAGGGGGGAAGAGGGAGGATGGGAGGGGGGAAGAGGAAAGGGGGGGCGGGACAAACAGAGTGGAGAAGAGAGGACCAGGAGGACGGAAGGAGGTGGCAGAGGGGAGGGGGAAAGAGGAGAAGAGGGGGGAGGAGGAGGGAGGGGGAGGAGGGGAAAGACGCACGATTTGGAAAGGTGTCTCTGCGGGCGCGATCTTGCTGCCCTGCCTGGGACCCCCAGGGACCCTCTGCGGGGGCACCCGCTCTGCAGTAGTCACTTGCCAAATCCCAGCACCTTGCGGCCGTAGCCGCCGCGGCAGCCTCTTCCTGAAAGCCTGGGGCTCTTGTGAGGAGGCTGATGACCCAGTCGCTAAGGAGCTGATGCTCCACTTATACCGCTTATACCACTTATACACCTCACAGGGTGCTTTTGGGTAAGGGGAGTTCAAGCCCTTCAGGTGGTCACCTCTCTAGGGCGACCTGCACAGCACACAGCGATTGCCTCTGCATCGCCGCGCCAGGTAGTTCAGCTAACCTAACTTTTCGGGGAGCTTGCATTAGGGTCTGTTGTGTGTCCCCACAAGCCCCACTGCTGCCCCAGTGTCTGCATAGGACACCCTCATCTACTCGCCAAGACGGGATTCCCTAGTGCCTTTAGGCATCGAGAGCGAACGCTCGTGATGCAGACATTTTCTCTTAGTTTTCAAAGCGCATCAGTAGCAGGACACCGCTTTCTCATCTAAGCAACAGGGGTCTGGCTAGAACACGCTGGGGCGGGAGGCGGGGGTGCATAAGTCATGCTTTGGTGAGGGTCCCGGGTCAGCGAATTGTTCGCAGGTCCCTCACACTAGCGCAGTCGCGCAGAAAGTGCCTACAAGGTGGAATGGAAGCTTGCCGGGACTATTTCCAAGTGCAAGTTTCAGAGTAGGAAAGCCGGCACAAAGGAAAAGTACCAAAAAAAAAATGTAATTGGGGGTTTCGCAGGAGTCGGCCAGCTTTGAAAACGTTTGCCTCGGTAGGGGTTAGCTGTTGTGGCGAGTCACGACTTGGCCGGGACTTTGAAATAATGTTAATGTGCGTCAGTGCGCAAAATGAGGAGAGGGGTCTCGGGTGGGTATCCCAGAACCACAGGATTTATAGTTGTAAAGGAGACTGGAGATCTTCTCTTCTATACTGCATTCTACACTTGAGAAAACTGAGGCCAGGGAAGCGAAGTGACTTGATGCCGTCCCCCAGGCAGCGGGCGTCAGAGTGTGACGACCCCTAGTTCCAATGAGAAAGTGTGGCTTGTTTTCCCCGTTAACTTTTACTAAGAGGTGCTATGTGGTACTTAAGTTCTGAAGCAAGCTATACACCGTACGCATACACCATGTGTATGTAACCTCGGATAGGGAGGTCATGCTGGCATGCTGTCAACCCCGGGAGAAATTTCCCCTGGGGAAAAATGCAAAGTACAAAACCTTCCTTGGGGGCAATACAAACTGCTGCGGCAAAGCGTTCTTACCGAAGAGTCGTCGCAGCATAAGGAGTCTCTTGTTACTTGGTTAAGTGGTTACCATTCCCCAGGTCATCTGTGGGGACCTGTCAGATAAACCATGTAGAAAAATCCAACTTTATGACTTGATATCTGATCAAACCAAAGATGTGGGAGTGAACTTTAAAACACCACTGCGTGACGCTCCCCCCCCTTTTTATAAAGTTGTTTTTTCTTCTACTCAGCCCCCTGTCTCCCACAGTCTTAGCAGTCATAGATCAGAATTGGCAATGAGAGCAAGGATTGGTGGGCTGACATTGATAAAACCACCTGCAGAATCAGTGCACGAAATGTATGAGAAGAGAAACAGAGCACCGGTAGTCTCTCACTGTATTATACCGGATTCAGCTTGCAGTCTTTTGCCTATCCCTGGTCTCAGTATACTGCTTTCCCTTTCATAAAGATTTTTCTTTTTTTTGGTCTGGAATCTAATTGAAAATCTTTATGTCTTCCTCCCCTCCAAAATATCTTCGTATGTAACAACAAATAACTTTAACATCCATTTGGAATTTTTTTTAATCCCAGTAACATTATGATGAATAAATTTCATCATAATCACCTAAAAATACTCTCTATCATAGAAATTAGAATATTAAATCTATAAGCTAACATTCCCCCTTTCTCATGCAAGCTTTTATTTTGTTGGTATGAACCTTTAAGATAAAGCAACTGTTATTAATTAATTCAATTCAAATCAATTAATATTTATTAAGTGCCTACTATATGCCAGGCACTGTGCTAATTAGAGCATTAAAAGGAAAGGTCAACATAATGAAAATATAAATTAACTTACCCACTTTTCCCAACTCAGAAACCTATACTTTTTAATAATTGAAATGATCTAAATTGCAATTCCAAATTAAATCTTCAAATAGGCACTATAATATGGTTTGTTTATTGTACATAATGAATCAAACTGTTAAGAATTTTTTCTCAAAGAAACTTGAAATTTGTGAATTGCAAGAATATGCCAAATAACTTTTTTCTTTGCTTTTCCACCATGTTTCCTTGAGGATTGCAAGACAAACCTTCAGCATTTGTAGAATTCATTTTGGAAAAGTTTTATATAGTAAAATTCAAATGAGAGAAAAGGTGCAGAACTAATAATATTCACTTTTCTGCCCTCTATGTCCACTCAAGGCTTAGAAAATTCTTATTTGAAAAATTAAGTTGAATCCTTTTTGTCCTGCAAGAAAAAAAAAAGTAGGTAGCCCTTTTCCAGATGTTCTGATTTCTCCTGAGATAGAAAAGTAAGCTTGGAAGATCTCCTATTACCTTTGAAGGTAGCTTTAGACTCTTAAGAAAAGTAGAAAAGATTCACAGTATTTTACATGCTATTCAACAAAACATATTCAAAATTCATATCTGAATTAAATTTATAAGTAACAGGGCCCACAGCTTTTGTCAAATATTTTATTGCATTTTAACACAACTTGAAGACAGAGACAGAAAGACCCTCTTAGTTTGGGGTGATTATGTGATCAGGAACTGGACAGAAAAATATGGTACTCTGAAAATTATTTGGTAGGCTAAGAACTGTTCCTAGAGGGAAAGTCTAGAATAATGGATAATAGAAACCTGGGTTCTAATCCCAGCTTCAACACTTGCCAGCCCTATAACCTTGATAAAGTTATTTAACTTCTCAGGCTTGTTTTCTCATATGTAAAATAAAGGTTAAAAAGTCTTAGACTATTCACATAATATGAAAGGTATTTTAAAAGGCATTATATAAATTAAACTTCAACCATTGTCCAATAATTCTATAATTGCCAAATATCCTCAGTACTTAAAAAAATGAGGAAAAGGCCAATGCAATAAGTAATCAAAAGATGTTTTTTTACAAGGCATTTTGTTGTACTTACCCCTAGTAGACATGACAATTTGTCTTATAAACATATATATTTGTAACCTGTCATATATGTAATCTGTCTTATAAACACATATATGTAGCCTAGAATTTTCTTAAAGACTTTCCATCAAAAAAACCCTTATGTGCTTAGAATTATTTTTCTAAATAATCCCGTGTCAATTCTATGGATCTAACTGAGCACTATGCATGTTGCATATTAGCTTCCCCCCAAAAATAATAACCCAGAAAAAGAGAACCTGTTCACAGTCTTAATCTTTTTTTACAATACATAAAAATTAAAAGTAAAGCACCAAAGAATTCCCATATATAATTTACAAATATTTTTTATCCTGCAATCCCCTCCACAAAAGATACATTATTGGTATATATTATATAACATATACATACGTATCCATGCATGCATATGCAGTAAAAGAGATTGGGGATAGAGGAATAGTTTGTATGTATGTAATTAAGCCTTGTATTATATTACTCATATGTTTCTATATATTAATATACATGCATGTATTTCCTATCTATTTTATACAAAAGCATATCAGTATATACCTACATATATAAGATTAATCATTGTAATACTTTCTTTTCTTGAGTTTGGGATTGGCACTAGACTAGGTATTTGATGAAGAAAAAATATTACTTATTGACTTTGATTTCTATGCTTTTCCCCTTTTCTCCCTTTCTCTGCTTTTGCAAGGTATTTCTCTTAGATGAAATACAAAATTGCCTGAAAAAAAAATCCTGCTACTGAGCAACCAAAAAAAATCTATTTTTCAGATTTTTTAAATCAGTTTTCTTAGCCCATAGTTTTTCCAAGATTAATATTTGTATATGTTTTTATTCTAAAAATTTCTGCCAGACTAAAAGTAACTTAATTATTTATAAGTGGCAAGAGAATTATTTTTTCTTCCTTTTTTCTTTTTTTTTTTTTTTAGTTTTAGGTTTGATTAGAACGCTAAAAAAAAAAATCATGGGCAGAGATATCTGTTGAAAAGATAAGCTAGAGTCCAAAGCTTGATATTGTTTAAAACAATTTAAAACAATTAAAACAGAAACACATTGAGTACATATATTTACTCATATCAGGCTAAATCACATATTTAGAGCTGGAAGGGACCTTGGAAATCAACTGGTTCAGTTCCCTTACTTTGTAGTCGATTGTGCACCTAATTAAAAACGAGCAAAAGACATGGTCCCTGACTTTGAGGAGTTTCCAAGTGTCATGGGGGAACATATGAGACACATACAAAAGAAAAGCTCAAAGGAAACAGCAATGAAAATATATGTGACATATATTATATTAGAAACACAGAGGAAAATATTGCTGTAAAGACATTCAGAATGGGTCCTTGGGTAAGCAAAGCAAACAGGTCAGATTAATCTGGGATTTTGAAAAACTGTGTATATCTAGTCATAATTATATTGCATTTTTGGAGGATTAGTTTGGTACAGTGAACAGAGCATTGGGATCAAGAGATTTGAATTTGGAGTGGGATCTGACTCTTTTCCTGTTAGAAGGTGTGACCTTGGATAGATGAGTTGTCTGACCTTCCAGAATCTATGCTTCTTCTTTTGTAAATGGAGCAAATACTTGTACTTCCTACCTTGCAAGGTGGTTTTAAGGATCGTATGGGATAGGCTGAGTATTGTATAAACAATGTTTTATAAATGTAGCAAAATGCTAATTAAGATGTAGGTTTTTATTATTACTTTCTTCTTTTCATTGAACATTAAATTTGGAGTGATTACCTTGGAAGTTTCTCCCTAGTTAGTACATTATGTGGGTAAGTGTGAGATCTCCATCATAGCTAGAGGTAACTTTCTTTGCTGCTTTGCTTCAATAAGAAGGGTTAAGTGATATTTGCCTTAAACAGAAAAAAGTAGTGAAGTGGAGTAACTGGGCAGAGGTTAACTTTAGTATGTCCCAATGATACATCTAGTCTCTTTTGGGACTCTATTCTATTGGTACATAAGATAGTCCATTCCCCAATCAAGGATTAATTTCTGCATACTCTTTAAAAGGATATCCTAGGAGACAGTATCAATATATATCTGTTGAGCCTTCTTCAAGGGGATTGGCTGTAGACTAGTTATTTGAAAAAAAATCAAGTAGACTAGTTATCTGACAAAGAAAAAAAATGTGCTGAGGCTACTAAATAAACTCAAGGTCCTAATACTCTTTTGCCACCCATTCTGAAATTGAAAACAATAATTCAGGCATATAAAGAAGAGAGTAGGGGATAACCAAACATATGGTTGTGAAATATTTAGCCATATTTTTTTTCTTAAAGCAAAGCCCCCTTTCATCATTTCAACTATAAATAAAATCAACAAATATTATTTGATCTTTCATATACATGAGGGAGATGCTTTTGAGGTTGATTATGATAGCATGGGTGTGCTTGGTATATCATTTTGACTCAACTAACTGATTGATTTAGCTCTAATAAGTAAAGTTAGTTAGAAAGTCAATCAAAGCAGTTTTGACCGAAGCAACCCAATCAATTCAAGCAAAACCAGACTATAGAGACTCATCGACCATCTTCCAGTATACTGATATAGTTTCTACCATCAATAGCTTCTTCATGTGTGATTTTCACTGTGTAGGTCCCTTCACTAATCATGCTCCTATATCAAAGCCTAACATTATTGTTGTCTTTCATCTCTGCAGCAGAGATCGTCACTGAGACATTAAAAAAAAAAAGTTGAAGGGAGAAATAATAGCTGTGAGCACAGTGGCAAACTTTCAATTAAAGTGGGCACAATCTATCATCGGGGTAAATAAAAATTAGTTAGACTCTTGTCCAAGAAAGGACATTCAGACAGGTCCTGATTCAGCTTAAAAATGCCCAGGAAAAGAAATTTTCATAGAGGATAGACCAGTAGAATCTGAAGTTAACAGAAAGAGGAAAAAAAAACCTTCTTAATTAAGGCCATCAATGCCTACTTTGGCGTAATTCAGTCTAATTCTACTGTACAAGGTTTGGTGGTCAGACTTTTATAAACTTTATAAAGAAAATGCTCTCTAGGTTTATGCAGAGGTTTTAAGGAGGTTTTTTTCCCTTCCCTAGCAGACATCCAAGGAGAGGTTTTTATTCAATTTATAGCTCCACAATGTATGTTGCCATACCCTTTGGGGCTCCAGAGTCTGATGGAGGATTTACCTGAATGTTTCTTTAGTCTTAAAGAAGTGAATATTCTTGCTCTAGAAACAAAAGACCTATTTAATAGCCAGTTGCTTCAGAGCTCAAAGTTCCTTATTTATGTTAACTCTCCCATACCACCTCAAGGTATAGATATACTGTGTTATTCTGCATCCAGTTATTGAATTATTCTTATTTTGCTAATGAGAAGTCTTAGGTGACTGATCTCTCTTGAGGATCATGGAGAAAGGCAAATGGATTTCAAAATATTTCAAAAGACTAATTTTCTCAGAATATGAATAATCTTTTGTTTGAGTATATCAGTCCATTTCCACCACAGAATTTCATTCAGAGAAAATAACATTTTGGTACTGGTTGTATTGCTTCCAAAGTTTAGTGATGGAACCAATCTCTAACAGTAATACTTCATGAAAAGAGACTTATCCATTTTGTTTAGTTGTGAATGGAACTTTTAAATTAACTTTCAGTGAAATGGCAAAAAAAAGCAACACTGCAATGATTTCTCTGTGCCTCTCAACACCATGGGAATATCTAGAAATAATCACAAAACTGTCTTCTTGAACCCCAAATATTTATAGAAATATGGCAACATATATAAAAAGTTACATTCTTAGTGAATAAGTAAATTACTTTCCTTGAAACTTATACCTTAGAGCTGAAAACTACCATTGAAATATGTTTCCTTTTAATGATGGAAAGTTGGGGTAAGATTGCTTCAAAATCTAGATACTATGAGTTAAGGAAAGAAAAAAATGGAAGAGTAAAAGTTGAATATCTAGTCTTAGAAAACTTAAGGGTTCCCAAATGTGCCCTGTGTTTTTGTTAACTATGAAGGCTTTTATGGCTACAGCTAGGATTTTTTTTACCTGTTTAACCCTTGCCTGGATTTTTAAAGTTCCTGTTTTATCTCTAGATTTATGTATTTTTATACTCACATACATAATACTATTGCTGTTCTTGTACATAATCTTATTTTTCTATTGCATGAAATATTTGTCCAATTGCAAAGGCATGAGAAAGACTCTTGTGGAAATCCCCCCCCCAAAAAAACCCCATATATATGTACATGCATGCATACTCATCATTATCTACACAAAAAAATTTACTTACTGAAAATCTTCAGTACGTCAAGGATGGGAGCTTTTTCCAGGTGAGCACAAATTGAAGTTCCTCCATGCGTTATTAATGAATATCAAGAGATGCTTTGGATAAGAAAGGTCATCACCCAGAGGTCATGAACCTTCTGTTGAAGGGCCTTTATGAACTGTTAGTTAGGTAGGCTGGTCCTCCTAAGAGAGATCCAGAGTCCGGGGCTGGGACCACAAGCCTTTCTACTTTGGAAGGACCTGTCTGATTTTGCACTACACTGACTTAGTCTTTGAAGATATATATACAAGCTGTGAAACTTAGAGAGTTGTATAATTATGGACTGGGCTTAAAAAGACAAGTAGGATGTCTTAGCAATTCAAAGCTGTAAGAGTCCCATATCTCTTGGAAACTTTTTTTTTCTGGTTTGAAGATATAAGTGGAAGTTAGAGGACCACTAAAATTGGGAGGATTTTTATAATAGAGCCAGCCCTTCACTCAGAGCCTAGAACGCCACTCTGGGCTGCAGTGTCTTTATCAGTCAGCCTTCTCTGACAATTCAGTTTCTTAGCAGTTTGTTTTAGTCATCGGGCATCAGGACTTCGTTTTCGGCATGGCAGACATACATAGTTTGACTTTTGCTACTGGAATCAAGACTTGTCAAAAGCCTGCCGTGGTTGCCTCAGTGATAAGTCAGAGAGTTCTCAGGCTGCACTAGGAGGATCTTGCCGATTCAAGTGTCTTCAAAGTACAATCGGCTCGCTTCTCCTCAATACTTGGTAACTGTACACCCCAGGAGGAGCGTGTTAACCCTTCCTGCCCAGGGAGGGACCCCTTCTATTTACAGTGCTACTCCTCCCCCCAAAATAAAGCACCTATACTAAGAGACAAAATCAAGTTGGTGCCCTATCTTTACAGCTAAGAATGTGCCCTAGGGTCAATTCGGCTTTCTCGGTCTAACGGAAAGAGAGGTGATGTCCTGGATCCACTGCCCTTACTTTTCAGGGTCCGTTTTTTCTCGGCTAGGAAGTGGCGGTCACAGTGTGTGTGAACGCCTTACTGACCTTGACCGAGAGAGCCTCGGAGAGCCAAAGGCGTTTGGGGCTTGACAGCCGAGGGGAAGGACGGTATGTAGAGGTGCGATTGCAATCAAACAAATGTTATTTACTATTATCCGTCTGACAATTCCCCTGGATTTTGCGGTCGGTAAACACTCTACTATGCGCATCAAGTTGCCCAGTTCTTCATAATTTCGGCCACAAGGTGGCATCGACCTGCAAACAAAATGGAAATACAGTAGAATTGATTAAAATTATAATTTTTCTTCCCAATAATTGCCTGGCCGCCTCTGAGTCAGGGGGCTGTTGATGGTTTGTGCCCATTTCTCCTACGTGTATTCATGTATGCTCATATCTGACAACGTAGATTCTCTACTTAATTGCATTTCTTTCAGAATTCCTAGGCAACCCTCCCCCTCCCAGATATGTACTTTAAAGTGGGGTGTTTGTTGCGGGATCTTCTGGCACCACTCTGTTGGGTGCAGCATCATGCAATTCTTTGGTTAAGGAGGAGTTCAGCTTTAAGGGGGCGTTCCCAAACCTGTCCATCAATCTCCCTTAGGCTCCCGAACTGAAGAAATACCCCGGGCTCCCTACTCCCTTCTCCAGTCCTCACCATCTTCTTCTCTTGGAAAGAGCTGGACAGATCTTCTTCAAGAGGAGGTAACTCCCGTCTCCCTTCAAAAGGGATTGATGGAGATCGGGGTGGACCGGCGGGATAAGCAAAGGGGAGGAGGGGAGAGAGTAGAAGATTGGCGATCTCTAAGGAACGGCCGCGGGATAGCTAAAGTGGGATGAAGTTGGGAGTTGGGGGTCTCTTAGAGACTTAACCTAAGGGTCTATCTGCTTTATCGCTTTTAGCTACGCGTTGCCGACTCCCGGGCTCGGGGGTTCAAGACGCAGCTCTTGGTCCCGGCTGGGAGCTGAGCTGTCCAGCCTGAAGGTTTGTGCAAGTTGTTCAAAACCTCGTCTGATCTCTGGGGGGTGAGGGAGATGCGTGAGGGGCGGAAGGACTTAAGAAAACACTGCCAGGAGCGATTAAACGTGGCTCTGAGTTGGCACTTCACTTTGCCCCAATTTCTTTTTTGTTTCTTTAAGACCAGAGGGCAGCACCTCCTGATTTCTTTTGGGGAAACTGAGTCTGTGGGCCTTCCCCTAAGCAGTTTGGGTTGGGAGTGGATGGAAGGCGCTTTGGGAGCAAGTCTGGTTACCTGATATCTGTGGCTGACTTAGAGTTTTGTTGAGGAGTGTGTTGGTGTTTTCTAGAGGTTTTCTTGAAGGCTAGGGCTTCTGTCTAGCCCCATTCATCTCTACCTCACCCCACCCCACCCAGAAAAACTGTGTTCTCCTGAATGGTCCAGGTTAGAAATGGCATTAAGGATGGGATGAAAATGGTAGTGATATAAGAGGGATATTCAGCCCAGTGGAGTTCCTTCCCAGATGGGCTGGTGGGCCAGAGGTGTTTTCAGGGTTAATCTTGGCCATATAGAGAGAATTTAACTTTTCTTCTTCCCAGACCTGATACCCCTCTGATTATCCTGTTGTCACTGGTGTCATTCGTGTCATCACAGAGACCTGAGCTCTTCAGAAATAACCAGAAAACAACCTCTCAGGTGAGTTTTTACCCTTTTTTTTTTTTACCTGTTTTTACCTTTTGATGGGTGAGTGAATTATTTATGCTGAATGTATTTGTTCTTCTTTTGGATTGCTAAAGGGATCACGAAGAAAAAGAATAATGTGAGGGGTTGGGAGGCTGGCACTGTAAGAGATGTTTCCCCTTCATTTTATGGCTTGAAAATGAATTGACAAACTTATTGGCTCTGGCAAAACAATTTAATTTGTGAGGTGTGCATATAGGCAATAGGCCTGGAGTTTACAGAATCTGAGGTTCCCAGATGGAGAATTATAGTTTGTTAGATAAAGTTCAGTTGGCATTTTTTTAGTCTCCTTAAATTTCAGCTCCAAAGGATCATGACTGTCTATCTATTTGTTTTTTGCTTGCTACCATAAATACTTGTCTTTTTTGGTTGTTCATAACCAACTGTCAGCTGAGCTAGTTCTCCCTCCTACAGTGAAGTAACAGAGTATTATGTAACTAACAAAGTAGCCCCAATTTTGCACATTAATTTATTTTTGCTGTTGTTGTCTTTTCTTTTCCTAAACAAATAAATGGTGAACTGTCTAGCTTGAGTATTTATTAAAAATAGCCCCTATAAAATTCAGGATGACTTAGCAACTTGGGATTTTATTTTTTAAAAATTTTGAATTTAAATTTTAAAATTTAAAGTTTTATTTCCCAAGGCTTAATTATGTTATGAACTTTAATTGATGTAAAGTCATGGATTTTCATAGAGCTTCCCACCTCCCTCCATTTCCCCACCCTGTCCCTATTTCTCTTGCTGTTTGTTTTCTCCTAAATGTATATGTTGTTTTCTTTCAGGAAGGTGGAATATGTCCCTCCCCCTCCCACTCATTCTGCTTCTCCTGATAATTCTGTCTGAAATTATCCTGAATTGAAGATTCACCTTTAACCCAATATTAGTGTTGATTTAATCAGCCAGATGGACAAGTGCTAAACGGTATAGTATAGAAAAAATGTTCTCTTTGATATACACTTCCATTCAACACAAAAATAATTATTCACCACAGAGCATGCCACATAAACTTTCCCTTTTACTGACAAGAATCATAATAGGTAATAACATACTTTATTTCTTCCACTTTTGCCATTTTCTCCTTAAGATTTAGGATCATAAATTTAGGAAAAAGGGACTTTAGAGGTCAAACCCCCCTCACATTACAGATGAGGAAATGAAGCACCACAGAAATTTAGTGACTTGCCCAAGTTACACAGGATATAAATGGTAGAAATGGGACTTGAACCCAGATCCCAGAATCTACTGTACCAACCTCTAAAGCAACCCATACCTAATAAAACCTAACAAACAAACAAAAAGAAAAGATAGAGTTATGGCCTGTGCCAAAAAACAAAAAAACCCCACAAACAGTGTGCAAAAGGCAAACTCCTGTTTGAAAGAGTATGGGTGCAAGTACATACATGATCTTAGTTTACTTGAACACTGACTCCAAAAAAAGAAACAAAAAAGCAGAAGACATTCTTTGGCATGACTACCAAACACAGAATCAAATTAGTAACAAATGTGTACACTTTCTCTTTACAGGTTATGCAAAGTTATTGAGGAAAATGAAGAGCTCACACCCAGTTTTTGCAAACACACTTCACATGAAGATTGAACTTCTTTAAAGAAAGATAACCAATTAGCACCAAAATGAATTACACATTGTTTCCCTCTTTTTTCAATGAATCATTTCTTAACCATACAGACACCCACCCCCCATATGCACCCATTGAAGAGAATAAATGCCGTGTACCAGTAACCATGGTATTTACAATGGCATTAGCTTATGGCATTGTCATACTTCTGGGGGTCTCTGGAAATCTGGCCTTGATAGGAATCATTCTAAAGCAAAAGGAACTGAGAAATGTGACCAACATTCTGATTGTTAATCTGTCCCTTTCTGACCTTCTGGTATCATTTGTATGTCTGCCCTTCACTTTTGTCTACACATTAATGGATCACTGGATCTTTGGTGAGGCCATGTGCAAACTAAATCCTTTTGTGCAATGTGTCTCAATCACTGTCTCCATTTTCTCTCTGGTTCTCATTGCCTTGGAACGCCATCAGCTTATAGTCAACCCCCGAGGATGGAGACCATCTAATATCCATGCATTTTTAGCAGTTGCCCTGATCTGGTTCCTCTCTGTGGCTGCCTCCCTGCCTTTTGTGATTTATCAGGTGCTGACTGATGAGCCATTCCACAATGTCACTGTCCCAACCTTCAAGGACAAGTATGTTTGTTTCGATCTGTTCCCTTCTAATGTGCACAGGCTATCTTACACCACTATTCTCTTGGTGCTGCAGTACTTTGGGCCTCTGGTGTTCATTCTTGTCTGCTACCTCAAGGTAATAAACACTTTTATTTTCTTAACATTTATTTTAACCTATATTTGCCCTCAATTCCACTAAATGGGTCTTTAACCTGAGCTAGAAAACACTGGTATGTTTTTGTTTTGTTTCCTACAGATCTACATACGACTGAAGAAGAGGAATGACATGATGGACAGGATCAGAGAGAACAAGCATAGAGCCCAAGAAGCCCGGCGGATCAACGTGATGCTTTTCTCCATTGTGGTGGCCTTTGCCATCTGCTGGATGCCCCTGACCATCTTTAACACGGTGTTTGACTGGAACCACAAGTTGATCTCCATCTGCCACCACAACCTGCTGTTCCTCCTGTGCCACCTGACGGCGATGATTTCCACCTGTGTCAACCCTGTCTTCTATGGGTTCCTTAACAAGAATTTCCAGAAAGATTTGCAGGCTCTCTTTCGCTTCTGTGATTTCAGGTCCCGTAATGAAGACTACGAGACCATTGCGATGTCCACCATGAATACAGATGACTCCAAGACAGCTCATAGGCAAGCCGGTGGTGAGGCCTCCCAGGCTCCTGGGGAGGATGAAGAAGTCTGAAGAGGATCTGAAGTGGGTGAGGGTTACAGAACCCAGGTGACAGCTGTTTTAACACCAAGCACAACCTGTCACACAATTCTGTAACCCTCTCCTCCTCTAGGATGTATGGCTTTGCCTGGATTGTCTTGCTGTTTTTAGTTGTGGCTTTGATTGCAGTAAGATCAAAATGTACAGACTTTGGATTTACTTGTGTCAGCTGTTTCTATCCAAAGTCTCAATACTTACAGTTGTATAACATATTTGTGAAACAAATATAGGAATATATAAGACATAGATTACATTTACTTCAATGGAATATTTAACAAAAACTTGACTATCAGCATATATACTAATCATATACTACTTTCATTAGTGATTCTGCACCCTGTAAAGGAGAGAAGGACAGCCAAACTAAAAAGAGTCCATTGACTTTGGAACCATATAAAGTAGACTACTGCAGAGGAGATACAAAATCAGCATTCATAATGTGAAGGGTTTTTTGTTTGTTTGTTTTCAGGAGAGAGATTATTTCTTGCCAGTTCAGACTGGTCTTAGTACCCACCTAAATATCCATGACTTTAAGAGAAGATTTAATTTGCCACTAATTGATTAGAACTTGATGTAACATTGCATGTAAAAGAAAACAAAAATCATTTCTCAGCTGTTAGCCTAGAAAATTAGGACATAAACATATTAAATGGAAAGCTGTTTCCATGACTCAAGACTATTTTGGAACATGACTATAAAACCTCTTCAGAGTAATTAGAATAATATCTAAATTATTGTAACTACAAATAATATACAAGCATATACATTTGAATGGAAGATATTTCCTCCGGTAGAACCTATTTGGTATTTGCTAAAAAGCCTAGAATGTTACAAAATTATATGAAAGGGTGCCTATATTACATCGAAACATCAAATATCATGTAACACTAAGGGACAAGTAAAGGACCCCTGATACAGCAATTCAATTGAGGGTATATGATAAATAGATAACATCCATAGAAATTTATTACATCTTGCGTGCACTTATAAACAATATATTCTATTGAATGTTAAAGTGACTATGTTAACAACTGATAAGTATATATACTTAGTACATGTATATCCAACTAATATATACCTAATTTATGCATCTCTGTGTTGGAATGATTATTAAAACTAAGAAATAAAGAATCTAAGAAACTAGTACACCAAGAAACTAAGAAACATTTACTTGGGAGAACATATGTCCTAAGTTAATTCTATAGCCAACCTATGAAACATCAGAGTGTTTGGTTTGAAAACCTTGGACAGTTCTTCTAATAAAATTGGTGTTGCATTGACTAAGTAGTTTGTCTCTTTTATTCTGATGTCACTTGGGCTTTTTTTTTCCCTTTTCCCTAACTAAGGAACACAAAATTTCCTTTTTTTTTCCAGAAATATACTAATCTCACTTTCTGAAGTTTCCATAGGCCTTTATCTTTGCCAGAGTCAACTCTCTGTTTTATTATACAGCATTCAGTTTCATCCTAAACAATCTAGCCATAGTAGTTTGGAGAATTTATCCTCTTCTGCTGTAATGACTTTGGAACCTTTCTTACTCCCACAGAAAATAATTGAAGTCTGGCTAATTTGATATTAAAAACCCAGTACTGACTTAGACATGTTGATCCTGGCAGAGCATGGGAGCATTTTTCCCTACCAAAGCCTAGAATTTGAAAATACTTAATATAGTTCTAATGTAAAGTACTAATATCCTTCCTTTTCTCTGGTAACAAATTGCTAATTGAGTGCGGCACTTACAATATGGTTATTTCCTTGTCAGCTCATTTGTGGGGATGATCACTTCTAGGAATCTCATTCCTAGTTACACATTATAGGCAACTAGCTCCTTAATTTTGAACAATTAACTACCAAATACTTCTCTTTAGTTCAATGGCTGTTGATTAGCCAGCAATAAAGTCTAAGGACTTAGCAGGTTCATCAATGTACTTAGAAAAAATTAAATATGATCAACATTATTATCAGTTCATTGTTATAAGCGCACTTTAAAGTTGGAAGACATTTCATTCACAACAATCCCGTGAAGCAGGGAAGAAATAAGAACAGTGACTTACCCAAGTAAAGTGCCCTATATGTACCTTCTCGGGAGAGTGAAGATTAACTGTCTGATTTTTCATCTTTAAGTCTAGTGTTCTTTACTATACCACACTAATCATAGGTTATCAGAGGCAAAGAAGAAAATATCAAACTTCAGTAATAATCAATTACATTGGTAGTGCCTTCCCAAGTTAGAAGATTTAAATAAAAATGTTTTGGGGTATTTACATTCCTCTCACTTTAATATAATATGTCAGATGGTTTAGATGGAATGGTCACTGAAGTCCCTTATAATTTTTCAATTCTGTGATTCTATAATAATCATTACCAGCTATTCTCAGTAGATTTGAAATACATTTTTAGTGGGAAAACCTATTGTACAGTAAATGTAAAAGTGTGCTGCATTTTCTTTTATACAACTGTCCTTTACACAAATATTTGCGGACTTTAGGCAATATAGGAAAAATTAATGCAATTCATACTTTTATTGCAATAAAAGGTTGTCAAAGTAAATGTTTGTGTTTACATAAAAATAGTAAGGATCTAATTTAGGCTGACAAATGGAAAAGATTTTAAAATTAACACTGATGCTATTTTGTGCTAATGACATTTGGGGACTTTCTGAATTCGAATTGGCTTTTCATTCAACTTTCAGATGAGTGAGCAAGGCCATAGTTGTCATCCTCAGTGTAAGATGGCATTGGTTCTACATGCTTTCCTGATCCAGGCTTTCTGTCATAAGCAAGGTCGATTCTTTAATTCTTTGGAGTAGTGTCATGCCTTATTATTACAGCCCATTCTCTTTGATCCTTCTGTCCAATAGCATGCCAAAGGAACAGCCTCAGACTCATGAACTGAGATCCAGTGAGTTTAAAAAAAACTTACTGAGATTTCTCTGCATGATTTGGTCAACAATATTGCTTAAAAATATTAAGAAACATCTAGGGACTGGGACTGTTTTCCTTCCATATGATATATAGAAATAGAAAAATATAGATATTCTTTCTTTTTTGTCCATTGTGGAACTTCCATTGTGGAAACTTATTCCACAAATGCAGATAGGCAACTCCTTTTTAGAAACTGCCTGAGGTTATACAATCAGTTTATGTCAGAGGCTAGTTCATGTGAATCCTGGTTTTCCTGACTCAAAGGCTGGTTCTTTATATCCTATGCCATGCTGCCTTTTCTAACCAAAAACAATTTTCTTAACCAAAAACTATGTGATAGAATTTTGTCCTGAAATGTTCATTCTCCCAATTCCTTGCTTACAAAATTCACAGTTTGTTATTCATTTCTGATTCTCCAAAATAGCATGAATATAATCCTAAATGGAACAAGGAGCCCTATGAAGCCCTGGAAGCTTCTATTCAATGGAATTTGCTGTTTAGTTCAGTTCAAAAAAGTCAGTGAAATCTATCAATCAATCATTTGTTCAATCAATAAACATTTATTAAACATGTACTATGTGCCAGACACTGTACTAAGTGTTGGCAATACAAACAGTTCCTGCCATCAGGGAGCTTACATTCTAATATGAAAATAATGGGCACACACACAAGTATATATTGAATAGGTTCAAAATCCGACGTGGTTTTCAGAGGGGCTGTGCTAATAGCTAGGACGATCAGGAAAGACTTCTTGAAGAAGGTGGGACTTGAGCTGAGTCTTGATTCCAAAAAGCAGAGGTGAAGAGTTCATTCCAGGCTTGAAGAACAGTCAGTACAAAGGCACAGAGATGAGAGATGATAGAATGATAGGAGATGGAGTGTCCTGTGTGTGGAATAGCAGAGAGGCTAGTATGTCTATACTGACACACAAAGTGTGAGGCAGGGGATGAAAGGGAAGAAGATTGGGAAAATAGGAAAGGGCCAGCTTATGAAGAACTCTAAATGTCAAACAAAGGAAATTCTATTTAATCCTTAAGGTAAAGGGGAGCTATTGGAGTTTGTGAAATGGTGTGTATGTTGTGTATGTGTTTGTGTATGAGAGAGACATGATCACACTTGCACTTCAGGAAAATCATTTGGCAACTGTGTGAAGGATGGATTGTGGTAGGAGAAGGCTTAAGATAAGAGAATCTAGAGAAATACATGTTGGGGCTTATAGGAAAGGAGAAAACAAGCATTTGTTAAGTGTCTACTATGTGCCAGGCACTGTGCTAAGCACTTTACAAATGTTATCTCATTCAATCCTCGCAACAACCTTGTTATAGGTACTATTATTATCCTTATTTTGCAGGTGAAGAAACTGAAGTAGTCAAGAGTCAAGTGACTTGCCTAGAGTCACACAACCAATACATGTCTGGGGCTGGATTTCAACTCAGGTTTTCCTGACTTCAGACTCAGCACTCTATCCACTATACTACCTAGTGTAACAGCTAAGAAAAAAAAATTACATATATATATATTTTTGTGTGTACATATATGTATACACACTTGAGAAAGAGTCCGTATTCTTTTTTATTGCCATTTTAATTTATATTACTATTATGACTATCAGTGATAAGAAATTAATTACCTCCCAAAACAACTCATTCCATTTTGGGACAACTTTAACTGTTAGCAATTTTCTCCTTGTGTTAAGATAAAATTTGTCTCCTTAGAACTCTTGCTTTTTGCTCTGCCCTTTGATATTGAGCAGAATAAGTCTAATCCTTTCACGTGACCACCTTTCTTTCACATTTGAGGGCCATGATCATGACCTTCATATAAATCTTCTTTTCTCCAGGCTAACCATCCCTAGTTTCTAAAACTGATCCACCTATGACATACCACTATCTATCTCATCATTCTACTCGCCCCCCTCTCCATGTACTCCAGCTTATCAATGTCTTTCCTAAAATGAGACACACAGAACTGAACACAAATTCCTGAGGTGGTATTAGAAAGGTAACGTATAGTCGAGGACAGTTGCTTACCTCATTCTGAATCCTAGACCTCTTAATGCAGACCAGGTTGGATTGGACACATATTACATATTATGTGATCACAATGAATCAACATATCACAAAATTGACTCATTTTTGAGCTTACAGTCTAGTCTATTATACTCCCTAGGTCTTTTTCCCATTTTTAGTTCTGTAGCTCACCCTCCCTGATACTCTATTTGTAAGGCTGATTTTTTTTTTCAGTTGGGCAATGGGGGTTAAGTGACTTGCCTGGGGTCACACAGCTAGTAAGTGTTATGTGTCTGAGGCCGCATTTGAACTCAGGTCCTCCTGAATCCATGGCAGGTGCTCTATCCACTGAGCCCCCTAGCTGTCCCCAGGCTGCTTTTTTTTTTTTTGACACAAATAAGACAATATGGTGTAGCAGAAAGTCCACTGGCTCTGGAGTCAGAGAACCTGAGTTCAAATCCACATCTCTGATTCTTAGTACTTTGTGACTCTTGGGTAACTCATATAACCTCCCTAGATCTCAGTGTTATCAGCTATATAATGGGGGAGAGGAATGTCTGACACGGCCTCTGAGCTTTCTTCTAGCTCTTGATCTGTAATGACCCTGTATTTATCTTTACCAATTTCTATTATATGTGGTGGGGATCTTTTTGGATGCTAATTTTTGCCATCTGTTAGTTATCCCTCCCAATTTCATTTAATCTGCACATTTGAGCGATATATTATTTATACCCAGTGACTGATTTAAAAAATTGTTTATCAGCAAGGGGCCAAGAACCAATTCCAGTTGTATTTCTCAAGAGATTTATCTGAAGGTAACATCAACCCATTATTAATTTCTCTTTGAGTTTTAATTGGGCTCTGAACCTACCTAACTGTACTCTTACCTAGCCTATATATTACTATCTCATACATAAGGATAGAATGAAAGTCATTAAATTCTTTATAAAAATCTAGGTATATCTCAGTGTTTCCCTGATCTATTAGTATAGTTATTTAAACAGAAAAAAGGTTATTCTGTCATGACATTCTTGACAAAGCCACACTGGCTTTTTAGAGATTATTGCTTCCATTTCTCATAAACTATTTATTTAATACTACATTCTAGAATTTTTGCCAAAAAAAAGTTAATCTCACTGCTTTTAGTTTTCTGACTCCTTCTCTTTTCTGCAAATCAGGACCTTCCAGTTCTGTGGTACATCTTCTGTTCTCCACAAGCTTTCTAAATCAGTCAGCAGTCATATCTGTCCATTCTTTTAGTAACCCAAGATAAACTTCTATAGAGTAACTAGGAATTCTCTTATTATTTCCTTTACTTAGGATATGAACTTCCCATTAACTATTTTT